ATTGCATTTATCCTACCCTAATGGCTATATATTTTATGTTTCTAAGAGTTTTGATCCAAATATGAGAGGATCAGTGAAAGCTATTTGGAAAAACGAATTTTCTGCTGTATTAAAATTTCCTAAACGTTTATTTAACCTACTGCAGTTACTAACAATGCAAATAATATTGGGAAAAGTCTACAAGAACATCAGCTCAATCAGATTGAGTTGAAAATCAGAATCTGATTTTCTTTTTAAAAAGCAATATATAGAGTTAATTCACTGATTTTGTTACAGCCAGAGTTTTGGGCTTATATGCTTTTGTGATTGTTAATCGCAGTCAAAGACGTAACTCCATGTAATTATAAACCGTAGGTCTATCAATTTGTTCAATTCAGACTGTCAGACAAAGAATGTCTCAAGTTTATTAATATGTTGAACCCTGGTCGCGCTTCTTGTATTTTTAAACTATATGAGAGTTAATTTCCTATATATTAGTATTACACTTTTTTAACTCACACCATCTGTAAAATTGTAATTCAAGGTGGTCAATCGAATTTAAGTAGGCAGTTCTCATTTTTCTCATATTTCAATGACACTGACTCTCAAGGCTTGTTTTCATTTAGCTATAATCGAAGTTGTCGTCAACATTTCAAGATGGTTGATGTATTGGAATGCTGCAGTGCAGTCAACAATTACAATTTTCATACAGAGAAATGATAATATATAGACAAATTTTCCTCAACAGTATTTCGCTTAAAATGATTTGTTCACGACAATTACGACTGAATCAAACCTAGTATGAAAACTAAATGAAAATTCCATCGCGCGGCGAAATACTAAAAGTCAAACTACTTGACCTCGCTTCAGTTTCGTAAACAATGCTTTGGTATTCTCCTCTTCAAGACGGGAATTTAGGTGGCCAAATTGTATTTCTATTGAGAAAGAATTAGAAATCAAGAGTTATGTTTGTCATAGATACTTTCTGCGAACGAGAGTAAAATTTAATACATTTTGCAGTGAATCTAGATAATTATGTTTTAGTCATAAACATGCAAGTTTATCAATGCTGAAACCTTTAGCCTGAGAAATAAAATACTAGAATCATCAGAGATGGCCGTCGTCAGCCAATGATTTCCCATAATTACGTTCGACAGTGTGTTATTATGAGAGTAAATTTTCGTCGTAAAAACAGCCAGACGATGTCGATCGTCTAATATTAGTGACATCTGACTTATATGATAAGAAAGCAAAGCTTTGGTTTGATGTCTAGGTTAGCAAAATCAAACTTACCTCCACTTCTATTAGCAGAATAAAAATGACAAAAAAACCACCAAAGATTCGAAGCAAAAACTAAGTGAAAGTGACCAGTGCGATGCTTTTGAATAATGTCTCTTAAAATTCTATATTTGCGTCATTGCAGACAGAAATTTAAAACTCTTCTAATCTCTTTATTAAAACAATCACCGTCGACGAGTGATTAATTTAGTCATCACATTGACACACGGAGTTAATTGATCCACGTTGACTGAACTTTTGTCCGTCAATACGAAAGGGTGCTTATTAATAATAAGATGAAGCTTATGGATGTATAATATAACGACTGAAAGAGTTACTTAACAATATTAAACGGATATGTTCTAATTCTATACAACATGATTGCTGCAGGTTTTATACGGAAACGTTTTAAGGAGGGTTAACATATAATTTCACTTCCAATTGAATCTGTTTCTCGTAGTATGAATGTATAGTAATTTTGCAGTGATATATAGAGTTCGTTATTATTTTAAAGTTATATAGAGAGATTATATACCGACATTATATTCTGAAAGGCTTTGGTGATGGCAGTAAAATGGTTGTCGCTATTGAATTCATTATAGATATACCAATTATGCAACAAAAAAATTAAAAGTTCGTTATCGTTGCACACGGATATCTTATTAATTTAACGTTTTGCAATGTGAAATTTCGAATTCTCTGGGCAGAGTTACCCCTCGTAAATGTATCCATGAATTCTTCGATTGAAATGGCAGAATTGATGGACTGAAGCCACTACGCACGCGAAATATTTCTCCTAGTATATTGTGGTATTGAGGAGTGAACACATTTACATATTTTAAACATTACATATTTTTGTTATGTTTATAACCTGGCGACATCACTGAGAAGTTGATTTAACAAATGTTTGGCGGCATGAAGAAAATGCCGTTTTACAGAGCAAAATTTACACTTGTATTAGCTGTGCTTAAAAAATCCTATATTTTTATCATATTTGAGCGATAAATACTTATATTTTTACATGGATCCATATGAGATTGATGTATAGAGATACAAACTTGAGAAACGTACCGTTGCCGTTTTCAAGAGTACACTCTATGTGTGCCGACCTCTGGTTGATATTCCTCGACCTCCCGTTGGCTTCCACTAAAGTCTAAATATTTTAAAATTTCCAGTTTAGGTCTCCTAATTGATGTTGTTTGACAAAGTTTAAGCTGTATGACATGGCCATTTTGAATACGAATTCTATTAACTGTGACCAACCGCTGAAAGGCATCGGGCGCATGTCCGCGCTTTATTTGATGTGTGTTATAATGCACCATCAATGTAATGCACAGGAATGGTTCAGTTAAATGAGCTTCAAACATAAGAAGTTCTTATGGTGACCGGACAGGGCCGCATAGAAGCGAGGGGAGGGGGTCATTTTGCCCCTGGCCCACAATCTGAAGGGACCCAGGACTTAAGAAAGAGCCTAAAATTAAAGCACCTTAAAAAATGTATGGCTCAGTGTATTATTCACAAACTAGTCAAAAGTACGAGTGACAGTCATTGTTATTTTATTTCTAAGATACGTTGATATTGTCAAGTTGTCCAGGGTTAGGAGGTGAAATTTTACTTGAACTGAGATGCTTTTAATGTCAGTTCGTGAACCAATAGTTGCTTTCTCAAATGATTAAAAACAATATTCGCGTCCCAAATAGACTTTAATCGCGCGAAGGGAGGTCGTACTTCGAAAATAACCTTAATTCATGAATTGTTTTACTAGAGGGTGTTGGCCAAATGGGGTTGTATTTGTGTGAGTTTGAGTAAATTGATGACAGGGCACTGCGTGTACAGTTCATTGGACTTAAGACAAACCGGAATTTTCTGTGTTGCAAACATAAAAGTGGCGTAATGAGAGTTGAAAGGATAATGAAAGGGGTTGTTTCGGTAGGTTTCGGTAATACCAATTACCAGGATGCCGGGTGGTCTTTTCTGTATAATTTTTTGAAATATTTTCGATTCAAGGTTACCTTATTTGAGATTCTCGCTAATGCCAGAGCTTTTGAACTCGCAGGCAGCCGATATTCAACATTTGAATCAAGACATATTTCTGAAGCGTTGTCCGCGGCAAAAGGAAAATTTAGACCAATAATTTTGTAAAAGTCTTTTGCACTGCTTTTTTACTGCTGTAGCGCGATAATCCATGACCAGAGCATTGAGAGGTGTAGGAAAGGTGAATTTTGGGGAAGACGCAGGATGAGGGGGGTTTAAGGGTATAATCCCTAAAGAAAATTTTAAAGTTTTAGAGTGTAGCAAAGTGCGATTTCTTGCGTTTTGGAGGTGAGATTTCAGCTTACCTGAACTATAAATAACCTAAAAATGTTTTCTGAAAGGGGACTATATACTTCCAACAACAGCTTAATTTTTATTCTTCTAGCGTTTCGTGGGCCCTTGCAACCCTTGGTCCCGTGGAAAACGTTCCCTTTGACCCCTCCCCACTGGGCGGCTCTGCCTTTACTTCAAGTTTTCAATTTCTAGATGTCCCCATCACCCTACAATTTTCTTGGGAGAAGCTTTATCTGGTTGCATCGCAGGGGTACCTTATTGGGCATCACGCTTTGATTCATAAGAGCTTGCGTTATTTATTTTGCTCCGATTGCTTATTGTAAGCTTTAAAGGCATTTACTTTTATTTATGGGCCTCGCTTTTTGGAGTGGCGTTATTTCATTTTGTTGCTATCTGGCACCACGCATGCGCAGTGACAAAACAACTGCCCAGGTCCAAATCTTGGTCAACACAATCTCCAGTAACAGGGTTTTGATGCACTGGTGCCATCGATAAGTTTCCTTTCAAGACAGTACAGAAACAGAACCCATATCCCTTTGACATTCCAAAACACATGTCTTAATAATTATCATTTATATCATATTAATTTCTATATTAATGATTGAAAAAACTTCAGACGCAGCTCCTTGGGTGTATATTGGTAAATGGACACCGCAGCGGAAATTGGCAAGGCTTTTGATAAGGAACACAAATTTGATGTATGGTTAATGTGATGTAACATAGAAATATATTTGTTCACCGACATACAGATAGAAACAAATTAGCAATTATCCGATTTGGTATTGTAAAATACGTCTCTCTGATTGACACTGCATGGGACGACATAGGTCTATAGGGCGCACAGTGCCAACCAAAAATTGGAGAAAATTATTTAGTGCCCTAGGTTATCTTCAGGCATGTCCCAGAGTTCTCTATGATAATGTACGAAGTCGCAGATTATTATTACATGTCTAACTCTGCTGACGAAAGACAATTGGGTTAAAACGTCGAGAAGTGTTTCTGTCTATTTTAGGCAAGTGTTATACCACATTTGATCGGAAGTAGTTTAAAGACGCTGCTACCACGTTGCTCGTGGTTATGTTGGAACGAACCTTAAATTATCTTTAAATTAGATCTGGCATGAGGTATTTGCTATATTCGCCATTGAAAACTTGATTGGAATTTCACACTTGGAGGAATCAGTTCAAATTTACTTTTCGCTAACTAATAAACATTAATAACAAATAAAATTATAGCGTTTAATCATAATTAAAATAATATAAAAAACAGTGATCTGCTCGATATAGCTTTAATGACGAGTTTCTATGCAGTGTTATAACATCTCCTAGTTCAATTCATTGATTTCAATTATACAACTCTGAATTTTTATTAAGCAACGAAAAATGATTTTGTAAATTAAAAATGCATTATATAACTTTAACGGACCCACAAATTTAAAGCGTATGATCTTTGAAGGTCGCTTTCGATATACCTAGCTTCTTTTGTCTCATAGCCAAAATCTGCGTAAGTGTCGCTCCCACCGAACTTTGGGTGATTCTCTTCCGTTATTCCAATCCCATGATCTGCTCTACTGCAACCACTTCCACCTCCACCAATCATCATCACTGCACCATCACCAGCATCCCAATTACACCAAAACCCGATATAGTTACTGCTTTGAATATTACCGTTGCAACTATGCATCCCAAATCCAGTCGTGCTCTGATATAACCCGCCATATTTGATCGCACAACTACCCAGACATTTGTCGTTCGACCAGACAGTTCCATTACGAAAGTTTCCAAAAGAAGTGATAAACTGACGAAATGTTTTTCCGTTGAGACAATTGTTGGTTGTTTGTAATAATGCTGTATGTGTTGGATCATCACTTCGTGTAATTTTTATGTTATTCGCAGCTGAAAGCCAAAAAGCTTTGGATATCATGTCCTCGTTCATGGAAGGATCCGTTGTACTTCCGTTAGGTGACGTTTTGTCAAACCAGTAATTGGCATCTTTCATCCAATTTTTTCCATCGTTGTTTGAAAAACGAGCCACAAGCTTCCAAACACGCAGTTCCTAAACACATAGTTAGTCCTGTTCATTATTTCTGTGGATTCTTAGTATATTTATTAGTTTTAAATTCAGCGACAACATTAATGGCTGAGCTGGCTACAACATTAAAAGGGAGGTCTAACAATAATTCCTATTAATATATAATTTAATTCCTTATTGTACATAATTAATATAAATAATATAAATAATAAATATAGATAATTGATTGATATTAAAATTGATCGAAATGGTTAGTGAGTTATTCTTCTTACAATTATATCTCGAAAGAATATATAGGTTATTAATCATAATGTTTAATAATCAGTAGTGTTTAAAGATAAAAAAGTTCTCCGCTGTTTTTCTTCTACAAAAATAAATGCTTTGGTACATTCGCGCTTTTTCACTTCTATTACCTAGCACATTGGTGCAGTCCTGTTTTTTATCTTCGGCAATAATCGATGTAAAGGGTGATTTGCTAGTTTTTCGCAATCTGTAGTTCTTTTGTCAGATTGTTTTTCAATTCCAGCTAGCTGTAGCGCTTCTGGATATGATTCAGCATATGGGAAGATAATCATGGGCTCTAGCATAGCAGACGAGTCTTTTAAATAGATTGCCACACGGGAGGGCATATTCCATCATTCGTCGATCTCGAATGGTAGATAGGTATACCGTTACAATACTTGAAGGATCGAGCAACGCTATAGCTTTACTTAAAACTCGGATTGAATAGAGTATTTTCATGCTTTTTTAGAGATATATATAGTCAACGTGGTTATTCTATTTTAAGTCGTCATCTAAATAAACTCCCAACAGTTTATAGCTTATCACTCGTTCAATTTATTTATTCCCATAATTATTATGATCCTATATAAAGTTAATAAATATTTCCTTATATTTCCCCGAGTTGACTCCTAGCAAAATGATGAATATCCATGCATTACCGCGTGCTTTAAGATACTAATAGAATTTCTTCGTATTATCTCCAAAGCTGAGGTGTCATCTACGAACTTTAATGGCGAATAGGGTTACTCCCAGGACCAAGTCTCTTCCCTCAGAGTTCCTCCTTTTAAAGTTTTCCAATCGGATAAACAACATTTAATCCTTACAGCTGGTTGTTATCCAACTCACGCAGTAGTGTAACGTCATGGCCAGAAAATTCGGACATATTTAACATTCTACTTCCGCCTAAATTTGCATACGGTGTCAAAATAAAGCTTCGTGAGTTTATAGTAAACTGTAATGTGCACAGTACTAAACGCTAAAAATACACCTTTAGGTAGGTCGATTATAATTTGCCTTAATTGCTCGTTGCAGAGCAAGTTAATCTTAATATTTTTATATAGTATTTCAAAATGTTTTATCAATATTCGTCCTGCATTTTCAAAACAAAGTTTTGGTCATTTATAACGTTGAATACCATATAAAACGAAAACCGTAATAGCGTAGAAATAAAATAAAAATGCAGAGCCGACATAAACCTTTGCCAGCAAAATATTACCTCAGGATCTTCAATATGACACGAGTTACAAGAAACAACCAGGGCAAATAGCAAAGATGCAATGATTTTCTTAAATTTTGCAAAATTTAAGAATGCGCAATATAATTTATAGTTCTGCAAACGAATAATATTTGAACAGATATGCAAATTTGCTACGGCAATCTGCATATTCCATGTCCGCAATTTCTGGCCATGAGTTTATTAGATCATACCCTTTTGAAAAATCGGCATAAAAATATTCTGGCAGCTGCATTTACACTGTCTATCGTCTCGAAAATAGCTTGTAATAAGTACAGCAAGTGGCGTATGCTTTCCGGGCATATTGTCTTTAATCAATCTTGCCTTCCAGCTGTGAGGTTAGTTTTGTCAGATTGAAACCTTTGCCGGCTAAGGTCATTTTCCAAATCTTTCGGGCGGTTTACTTTGGGAATGGGGTTAACAATAGGTGACTATTGTTAAAATATAATTTAGGTTTATAGTGGTTCAAAACTATCTGTCAGATCAACTTAAGCATATAATTTATTTTTTTTGCCAGCGCTTTAGAATCCTTATATCTATGGTGCCATTTTTGCTGAACTTCCTTTGCAGAGAGACTTTAATTTCTTTCCAACACTCGCTGGAATTAGTAAATTCCAAATTAGTAACTCTGTTCTTATAGTTTCGGTTTTTAGCCATTTTTATTTCCCATGTTTAATAAAGGCAATTTGGCGTTTATAGATCAAACTTTTAGTTTTCTTTGTTATGCATGGCTTATCTGTAGGATGCTTCTTGAATGTTATAGTCGGCAGGAAAGTGTCAAAAGCAGGATGAAGTTCTCTCATGAACATAATAAAGTTTTTTTTCAGAAGAGGCATTGTTATACACATTAATCCAATTTTTCTCTATAATCCATCTTCCCAGTGACCTTCAACCGTTGTCTCTTATATCACGTATTTTAATTTTCATTAACGATAGTTTGATTAGCATTAGCGACACTCTTTGCATGGTTTTGCAACAATGGTATAATGGTCTGGGTAATCTTATTAGGACAAACATTTTAGGCATGTTGGTGAATAACCGTCTAGAATCCCAGTTTTTCTCGTTTTAAATTTAACGACTTGCTTCTTAGGTCCTTAGTGACCTTAATTCCTATCTTTAATACCTGTTAAATAACTTTTAAGTACGGTAAATTTGACTTGCCACAGCCCCTTTTTTTCAACAATTTCTTATTAATATATATATATATATATATATATATATATATATATATATATATATATATATATATAATACTTAATTAATTATTTGATATATTTTATATTTACTTTCATGCTTAATTAGGACTATACCGTGATACCGTGCAGATAAGTAATGCTGTAATTATTGGAATTCCAATGCTCATAGACTATTGCGTAACAGACTATTGATTCACTTTGTTTTGTTTATGGAATTAAATAATAAATAACTGATATTATACAGCGTCCAAATTAGAAATTAAAAAATATAAATTGTCAATCCTACCGCTTCAACATCTTGCATCAGTATCCAATCTCCCGTTTTTGTTTCTTCTTTCTTTTTAGTAACGTAGGTCAGTTGGCAGTTTTCAAAATTTTTTGTTGTTCTGTAGTTGAATCCAACACATTCTTCTTTGTCTTGGCAGTGAGTGTGACATCCTAACATGACGTCTGAAGATGTAATATTGTGTCTTGATATTATTTCATACGAAGGCAACGAGGGACCTCCTAAATAAAATCATCAAAATTCGTTAAAAAGAATGAAAAATGTCCAATTTTCAACTTAATTTGTATGTTTTATAATTAATATGAAGTATCGAAAGGTGTTTAACGACATAACTTTTTCTGAACAAACGTGCAAAGACGACCCACCTCTTATGATCGTGTCGTAATTCGTCGGGGAACAATGGTTTGCAGAAATACTTCCAATGTCAAGGAACAGCAAGATCAAGGTTCCTGTTACAAGCATCGTTTAAATCGTCTTTTGTCCGACTTTGTAACGCAGTCTGAAACTTTTTACCAGAGATGCCAGAAAAGGAGTCGAATAGAATTGATCGAGGATAATGATGTTCGCTGTATTTAATTTGATGAAAATTTTGCAAGTTAAATTTTGTTGCCACAGCCTTGACATGTACTTACACTCATAAGTAGGGTATTTTTTCAATTAAATTTTTTGGAACCTTACTGCCTATAAAATCTTAAAATAGTACAAAATCGCCAAGCAGTATAAACGTCAAATGCTGCAGCATAACGCAAATTTCCGTTGCATAAGCTGCAAATACATGCACTGGAAATAAATTTCGTATATTCGGACATCCGTGAAATGATATAGTTATTCAGGGAGGCCATTGGGTCGTTTAAATTGCATCATTTGTCGAGGAAGCTAACGTGTATACTGATCTATGCTATCAGCTCTTTGTCAATTGTGATGATCAGAAGTTTTTTTTAAACCGAAAATATATTAACCCAACTGCTTCTCCCTCTGAATTTTTAGCACAATCCCCCCCCCCCCAATATACAGCACAATCTTAACGGGGCTTAAACAAACATACTACTTCAGCTCATGCACAGCTGCTCATCACCGTCTCTTAAAGTGGATGGTAATCATCTTTCTGAGATATTTAAAACGTATTTTATTTTTGCCTATTCTCAGAATTGCTAGCTGTCTTTTTACATGGACTATAGATTTGCGCCAAAACAAACCTAAATTTTCATTGCTTCATCCACCGTGAGATGTTTTTTTGGAATACTACTCTTACACAAGGCCATTAAGTCTTTCGAATTGCATTTATTTGATAAAGCTATAACATGCAAAGACTGATATATTATACCATCACACAACTCCTTTTCTCAAACTTAATGCAGTTTGTTCTACATAAAATGACACGACTTTTGACATAACTTCTTCTTTTATTATGCATGAACGTTACAAAATAGCTACTGAAACAGAAATATTCAAAACGACTTGCCAATTTCGTGATTACGATCTGTTAAATAAAATTTCTCAATGATGTTATACAAAACCGCAGCCTGCATGCAGTAAACGCGGTTATACAGTTATTGGCTTCAACCAACTATTCAGGCTCACATGCAGCTGCTTGTCACTTTAGGTGTGTGGTAGCTAATATCTTTGAGACATTAAAAACCGACTTCACGATATTTTTTCCGACCGTTTGCACAATTTTTATACAGTAAAAAGTTGCTGTAACATCGTTTAAAGCTTCTCTTTCGGACTTTGTAACGCAAGTCTGAAATTTTTTTGACAAACAAGACAATTAGAAATCGATCGTGAATAAATTTAATGAAGCTGTATTTCATAAATAGTGAAGCAGACGACTTAAATTTGAAAAACTGCTTCAATTTTTTTGGACCCTTCAAACTTAAAATGACTATTAAAATTTCAACGTTTGCATGAATCTTCACAAACATCAATAAAACAGTACAAAATCTTCAAGCGCTATAAACGCTGTCAAATGGTACAGTGCATGCACAAATTTGGGCTGCATAAATATGCTAGCACTGGAAATAACACTCCTCTGTTATTGTACATGTATATGTGCGTAATGATTTTGTTGGGACAAATGAAAATTCATTCATCACATAAAATAAATTTTATATATTCAGCATCCAGGTATTATTCTCTGTTTGTCTGACAAACAGTGAGAAACAACGTTGTTGTTTGAAACAAACCAAATTTTCATTTCTTGATAATATTGCGGGTACCAGAACCAAGGCAATAATCATCAGCAGGAAACAAATACTATATTTCTTCACAGCTATTGGATTGCACTAGTCGCGAAAGTTAACATAATAACTGCCATATGCTATCAGATGTTTTTCAAATTGAAATGAAGTTCTGTCTAAAGCGAAACTATATAATATGCACCAAAAAACCTCAGAATTTTACGGCAAAATCTTACCGCAAAAAAGAGCCATATAAAAAATGGGAAATGATACGAAATTTTTAAAACTACAACTTACCCCCAAAAGTGTCATGAACTGATCTGTTCAATAAAATATCTCCAAGACGGTATACATAACAAAAGATGCACGTGAAGCTATAAGTAGCACGCTGTAGTATAGAAGTCAGCTTGAACAAATGAACCAATTCAGCTTATAGCTGTTTGAGCAGCACGAACAAATTTAAATACATAACAAAAGACGTAGCTATAAGTATGACGCAGTTCGTCGCTGAAGTATAGACGTCAGCTTGAACAAATAAACTAATTAGGCTTAAAACTGTTTGAGTAAGCACGAATAAATTTAAATTTATAACAAATGACGCAGCTATAACTAGTTATTAACATTCACCGAAGGCGTTAAACGAACGTAAATTCAGTTATGTATAAATTTTTATGTATAGACGTCAGCTTGAACAAATAAACTAATTAAGCTTATAAGTGTTTGAGTAAGCACGAACAAATTTAAATATAAAGTATATACTTTTTCGGAATATAAATATTAAAGCCCAACATAGTGCTTTTAGTAAAGCCATAAAAATAAATTTAAGTTCATAACAAATGACGCAGTATATAAGTAGGACGCTGTAGTATAGACGTCAGCTTGAACAAAAAAAAATAATTAGGCTTAAAACTGTTTGAGTAAGCACGAATAAATTTAAATTCATAACAAATGACGCAGCTATAATTAGTTAACATTCACCGAAGGCGTTAAACGAACGTAATTCAGTTATGTATAAATATCTAACGTATGAAGTTGAATTCTGAGTGGCAGCATTTGTAATATATGTAAATGTTCATATGCACATATCGTATGTACTGTAGAATGTGCAAATTGTGAAGAATTTATTGTGCTTCAATTTGCTCAATATCAATTTCGGATCGAACGTAGCTATGTATGCACCTGCATGTACACGGCTAAAGTATAATTCATTACATTCCCTAACTTATCGTTTCGTACATGTCAAGTTGTTCATAATCGTGCAGAGTTTAAAAATAAGAAACATTTCTAGGCACAGCCACAAGAGTGACAAGGAAATAAAATTCGTTTTTTGTGCGGCCCTTACAACGTAATAAAGAGCAAAAAAACTGCCGTGCATGGGATACATTCGGACAGAGCTACATGCACGACGATCTTAGAGTCAGTAAGCAATATAATTATACCGTTTCCCCAAGTTATGAAAATTAATATAAAATTTGTGACATGCCACAGCCAGGCCAGAGTTATACGTTATAACATCTCATGCAAGCAAATTCTATGTTCGCGTCCCGTACGTAAGCAAGCAAGCGTTCTGTTCTCCAAGCTAGCAACTTTCGTGCGAATAAATTAAGCCGGACGCTATTAAACGTTTGTCCAATAAGAGCATGCTTTTCTACGGATTCAGCGCTATTAGCTAATAGGAAACTGTATTTTAACGATTGTTTTGCCCAGTTCGAGACTTTGCGTTTGTTTAACGCCTTCGGTGAATATTAACTACTAGGACGCTGTATAGTATAGACGTCAGCTTGAACAAATAAACAAATTAAGCTTATAACTGTTTGAGTAAGCACGAACAAGTTTAAATATAAAGTATGTACTTATTCGGAATATAAATATTAAAGCCCAACATAGTGCTTTTAGTAAAGCCATAAAAGATAATTTCAACAATTTGAGGGTAATAACTTGTCTTAACTTAAGACATCTTCAGACTAAGTGATAAATTACATGCAAATTTGAATATGTAGACTTACAAGGTATCAATTTACGAAGGGTGATAACAAGGGCAAAGTAAGGATAAACATAAGGACTAAAATAAATTGAGAGGGACAAAGTTGCCTGGAACATTAAAAGAAGACTTGAGTTTGGTGATGAGGAGACTCTCATGTATCATTAACTCGTACGAGTCAGACGAAGAGAAGAGGATTTTAAATTCGTCAAAGCTAGCCGAGTGTTCGAAAGCCTTTGACAAATTTAAAATCCTCTCATTTTAGAGTCTCTTCATCACCAAACTCAAGCCTTCTATTATTATTGTTCAAGGCAACTCTATTCCTCTCAATTTATTTTGGTCCTTATTTGGTAATTGTCATCGTGTCTTGACGATCTGTCCCTTGTCCTCTCATGTACTGTTTGTCCTTACTTCGTCCTTTTTATCACCCTTTTGTAAATTAAAACCTTGTAAATATATTACTAATCTACATATTCAGATTTGCATGTAATTTATCACTTAGTCTGAAGATGTCGTAAGTTAAAATATATTTTTATTGCACTCAAATTGTGGATATTGTCTTTAATAACTTTACTAAAAGCACTACGTTGGACTTTGATATTTATATTCCGAATACACTTTCCGCCCGGCAAGCATGTCTCTGGCAACAGTAATGCACAGCAAAAAGTAACTATAGCTATTAAGAATTGGTAGCTGAATTTGTATACACAGGCCTATATTATATATTTGTGCCGCAACTGCAGAACGACCCGGCCCCAAATTTTCAATGCTTCATCTACTTTAATTTTAACCATGAAATGCTATTTTTGGCCGAAATACTACTCTTACACGAAGGACTGATTAGATCTTTCCCAATTGCACTCTTTTGAAAAAGCTAGGATATATATAGCATCAAATGTGGTATAACAACTGCCTAAATAGACAAAAACACTTCTCGACGTTTCGACCTGAGGGCCTTCGTCACGAGAGTTAGTATGAAAATAAAAAGAGGAGAATACATGTTTTGTATGGAGGAAAAACACGTGATAAAAAAGGGCAAATGGAAAACAAAAAAGTCAAAACAAATTCGCATACATTACATTGCTAAAGAGACGCTTGATTGTGGGCTAAGATTATGTAGCCTGCAATGAGGGAAGCCTGATGAGCAACGAAAACGCATTACAACCAGCTTTGATGTAAACAAAGAAATGGTAGTCATATTACTATGGGTGAAGTAGCTTAAATGAAAGAGAGTCTTTTATGCCCGAGGGATGGAGAGTGCCAAGACTGTGGATGAGTCGCATTTCTTGTCGTTTACGGCTATCGTTAGTACCGGAAATTGCGACAGACGGCTCTAATTTTCATGTCCTTGACACAATGATTACCAGAGGTAAAGTGTCTAGCAACAGGGTTGGTGTCATCGTACGTGGTTGCTAACCGACCTAAGGTGTTCACCAAACTTTACCCTTAGAGATCTTCCAGTTTCGCCGTTATATAGTAAACCACATTAATTTGTTGCATGAAATGCAATAAATGAGGTTGGAGGAGAGGCATGTGAAGCAATGCGGCCGCGATGTCAACTTTGTATCGATAGCGATAGCGATGGTGGTCAAGTTGAAGGCATCGGCGCATAATCACTTTTTAAAAGTGTAAATGTAAATAATTGCAATAAACATGTTGGAAAACCATTGCAAGCTGTGACATGTTCGTGACTAATTGTTTTTTCTTTTGTTATGCACTGCTTTAATTAGGCTCAAAGGTGAAAATATGCGATTGTGACTAACCTTTTTTATCAGCCTCGTATGTGCTCACTTTTTTCACCGTTTGGTATTGAAAGCATGTCATGCGATAGTTAAAAGCCTGATCTTTCCGAATGTGAAAAAAATTCGTTCATAGACTGAGTAGTTCAGGTACAATTGCGTGTTGAAGTTGGATTATATTTTTTTGATACACCCTGTATATCCTTAATACGTACAATCGCAAAAAGTTGGTCATTCAAGAGATATAATATTACTTAGGAATTACCTTAATTCTGAATGGGTTTTGTGGTAGAAAAAGTGTTAGTTGCTATTGAATTTACTATAGATAGCTCTGAATTGCGCAACACAAAGTAGAAAGGTCTCGATCGTTGCACTCAAAGTTTCTAAAACGTTTTAGCAATACGAAATCTGTGGGCGGATTTGCTTTTCACGGTGCTTCCAACACTTTTTAAGTATCAGAATTCTCCTACTTTGACTTGAGATTCATGGCCAGAAATGATGGACTGATGTCACTACGCACACGAAATATTTCTCCAATATTATTACAATACAAATCACTGCATGGGGAAACATTAACATAATTTATACATTAAAAAATTATTTGTGTCATGCTTATAACTTGGCGACATCAGAAGTTGATTTAAAAACTGCTTGACAGCGGAAAGAAAATTCCTTTTTACTGAGCAATGATTTGTATTAGCTCCGCTTTAAAAATTCTTATATTTTTATCATATTTGAGCGATAATTATACTTATATTTTTACATGGATCCATATGAGATTGATGTACAGATATACTTGAGAAACTTATATACCCTTGCCCTTTTCTATGGTACACTCTATGTGAGCAATAAGCTCTGCATGGTTGATATTCCTCGACCTCAGGTTGGCTTTTTCCCGTTTAGGTTTATTAATTAATGTTGTTTAACAAAGTTTAACCTACATGACATTTCCATTTTGATTATGAAAACTATTAGCTGTGACTAACCGCTGAAAGGCAACGGGCGCATGTTCGCGATTTCTTTAAGGTGTGTTCAGTGGCGTAGTCAGCCTAACGATTTTGTTCCGCTATATAAATTTCGAGTTATTATAATTATTCATGTCTTTAGAAATATATTGTTTTTACAGTCAGTGAATATCAAAATATTAGCATAGCATGACAAATCGACAGGCTGGCTACGCTACTGGGTGTGTTACATGCATAGGAATGGTTCAGCTGGATGAGCTTCAAACGTAAAAAGCTCTATAATTGTGGTGTCCCACCTGTGTTCTTTTAACCATTTCCCGAATAACACACTCACATTTATTTTTCGATAAGGTCTTGTTGTCCAGCGTTAGGAGGCGAAATGTTTGATATCGCTGACCGCTGAGAAGTAACAGCAGAATTGTTGCTTGAACTAAGTGGCAGTTCGTGTACATACGGTTGCTTTCTCAAATGATTAAAAACAATATTCTCGTCCCAAATAGATTTGTGTCGCATTGTAATTCGAAAATACCCTTCATTCACTGTTTAACAAGAGGGTATTGGCCAAATGGGATTATATTTGTTTGGCGGCACAGCGTGTAGAGTTCTATAAAACAAATCGGAATGAAAAATGCCGTTGTTGCAATAGGATTAGTCTAATGAGAGGATACCAGGTTGATTCGGTCATTTTGGTATTACCGTGCAGGATGCCAGTGGGTTGTATAATTTTTTGAAATACTTCCGTGGTGTACCTACGAGCTAATTTATAATTATGTGATATCATTAAATCACAAGAATTTTATAAACTGTAAATTCGCAGATATCGACAAAGAAGTAAAATCAGCAGTCATTCAAAAACTGCTGATCGAAACGTCTCCGACGCTATGCCCTTCTCGATTCAGTGGTTACAAGATTCTCGCTAATGCCAGAGCTTTTAAACTCGCAGGCAGCCGATATTCGACATTCGAATCGACAAGAATTTCTGAAACGTTGCCCGGAAAAGAAAAATTTTGTCTGAACTTTGGAAAAATGTCTTTTTACGGTAAATTTTCGCCAAAAAAAATCTTTCATTGAATTTCTGCATGGCTGTACTTACCGCGGGCTTGACTGCATGCATGCATGGTAATAGGCAGTTAATACCTGAATTTTAGACTTCTCCCAGGCGACTTCAATTGTTTCACGTAATTAAAACAATAAGTTTAAGCTCATGCGAGAGGTTAAGCTATTCAACTAGCTTGGTAAAATTGCACCCTGTAATTGTCAAAATTGATAGGAAATTCGTTCGCACTACAAGGCAATGAAAAAATTCCACAATCACGATTTCGCAGGAAATCAAAATTATATCACTATCACACGAAAAAAGTACAGCTAGTAACTATTTATAGTATAATATCAGTAAACGTGATCAGTATCGTTTAAAACATACATATATTGCATTTTACAAGAGAAAAGTGTAACATTTAATGTACCTAAAATGATTAAAAGATCCTTGTGAAACTAATCAGCCCAATCTGTTCTTCAGCGTACCCACAAATTTAGCGCATACGATTTTGGCACTTCATTTTCCTCGAACTGGTTGTTGTCATTCAAGTCGTCACCAAAGTCAAAACGCCGGCGGAGAAGTCTATTGAACCTTGAGTGCTCTTCTGTTATTCCAATCCCATGATCCGCCCTACGGCAACCAATTCCACCCCCACCAATCGTCATCACTGCACCATCACCATCACCCCAATCACACCAAACCCCGATATAGTTACTACTTTGAAGATTACTGCTGCAATTATGCATCCCAAACCCAGTCGTGCTCTGATATAACCCCCATATTTGATCGCACAACTACCCAGACATTTTTCGTTCGACCAAACAGCTCCATTACGAAAGTTACCAAAAGAAGTGATAAACTGACGAAATGTTTTCCCATTCAGACACTTGTTGGTTGTTTGTAATAATGCTGTATGTGTTGGATCATCACTTCTGGTAATTTTTATGTTATTCGCAGGTGAAAACCAAAATGCTTCGGATATCATGTCCTGGTTCAGGGTAGGATCTCTTGTACTTCCGTAAGGTGACGTTTATATATATATATATATATTTTTTTTTCCAGAGTAATTATATATATATATATATTTATATATATATATATATATATATATATATATATATATATATATATATATATATATATATATATATATATAGATATATATATTATATATATATATATATATATATATATATATATATATATATATATATATATATATATATACAACTCCAACAATGTGTAACCGTACGTCCTGTGTCCCATATATATATATAATATATATATATATATATATATATATATATATATATATATATATATATATATATATATATATATATATATATATATATATATATATATATATGTATATATATGTATATATGTATATATGTCACAGTTGGGTAATCGTCATAAAAATATCTAGTTAGTATAAAAATTTGATCAGAATATTTTAAATCATACATCATCCAGAAGGCGAAAACCCGGAATAGCATCTGGGACACCGCGGAAATTGGTATAGGCTTAACCGCAATTCTCGATACTTAGACTTCAAACTTGGTGAGGAAAAAGAATTATAAATATTCAAGAAAATATGTCTTGCACAAAAGATTTGAAGCTTGCTCACGGTAAAAACGAATCGTCTGAATTAATAACCTTGTGTATACTTTAAGCCTCAAAATGGCCATTTCACAGCGGTCAGATGTGTATGATGAGCTGTCAAAAGATTGCAGAATGCGTATTCAGAAGAAAAATTGAACTTTTTTAAGATATTCAAAAGGTTTCTCTTTGATAGGGCGATACAGAAATGCACAATTGTGAACCAGCGATTAGATTTTCGGGTTGAAACGTCTAAAACACCAATTTCTGCGGTGTCAGCATCTGGTGACGTTCAAAATTATATACACTGTGACAAGATGGCTGCCGAAGTTTGTCTTTACAAGGTACCTTAATGCTTGGCATTTATGAAATATATGTAAGGGGGAAGAGGTGGGAATACTTTTGGTTCTACGATCAGACTATAAAACAAGCGTTCATTGCCGAATTTACAACAACAAATCGGTTTCTAAGGGTGTGCTATAAGCGCAAAAAAGTAAAAAATATAAAAGAGTGAATTACTCATAAGTAAGCAGACAAAACCGCTAAAACGGAGCTGATAGTAAGAGAACAATGTCCATGGAACACAAAACACCAAATTTGATTTCTACCACCTTAGCAGCTTTGGGTATAAAATATTCATATATGGTCTGCCCTTTGGGGCAAAACTATGGTAAAACTGCCCTAGGGGTGACCCAGAAAATAATTACCTCCTTTCGGAATATGCCGTCATGCATGTTGAAAGTATATAAGGTCAAAGTTTTAAACGTCAGGTCACCTCTGATCAAGACACTATACCGGAGTCTAGAGTCTAGTGAAAATTTTCGAGAACTGTGGGGAGCTAAATATACCTGTGGGTATATTTTTTCCAGAGTATATTAATCATATGATATTGACCGACTTATATGATCATTATTTCCTACGTTTTCCATATTGGTATGGCGATACCCATATTCTTTCTCAAATCTTAATACAATAGCGATTTAATCAATTTTTAACATTTGGATAACATGTAGGCTAACTCGTAAGAGGTTGGTTAAAGTTAGTCTTTGTTTTGGTAGCCTGCATGAGCATCAATAATAGCCTGGCTGTGCCGATAAATTGACTGTGGTGTAAGTGGGGGTTTATATTTATGGGCAGAAGAAGATAATTCGTTTCCATGCATCTTGAAGGGAGGTGTTTGGTACCTTTGAACATAACTCGTAAGAATAAAATGTGCACGGAAATTATTCCGGGATCAATATTAACGGAAGTATTTAGCCAGCGTCAGTAAGTTTCTTGTGTGCGTTATGCTCAATGATTTATACTTCATAATTTTTTTATACAATATTAATTCAACTGCTTTTATAGTTACCTCCAAATATCTGAAATTCTTCACCGTCTCTATATAATTTGAAAAAAGAAGAAATAAATGTTAATCGCATGTTGCATGAAAAAGCAGTAACAGAGTAACTCATAAATCTTTATAGACTTACGATTTTTCAAATCCTCTAAGCTCTCTTTCACAATTGCCAATTGCCCATTAATCTCGGACACACCTTGCGTGATCTGTAAATTATTTTCATACATATAGCTAGATATAATTACTTTATGAAGAATTTGTAGCGCGGATAAACCGAAATTTTGGGGTTATACTGATCTTTTCTTCACAATCCTAAAAGGTGAAAATGCAGAGAGAAGCACGCGCAAAAGTTGGAGTATCGTCGTAAAAGTCGTAATTACTCCAACACAGTGTGCATCATCTATATAAGTGAGGAAGATAATGACTCAGTTATGACAGCGTGCCAGTATTAAGGTTTACTGTATTAAAATTTTTGCATGATGTTCCTATTAATTTTCAGCAAAAATTAAGTCATATTATATGTTTGTAGTGACATGTATGGAGTTCATCAATAAACGATAAAGAATTGCACTCAACTCAATTATAACCCCCTCAACAAGGAGAGATTTGACCTGAGATCGGCCATCAAAAGTCCTAAAGCGAGATTGGACATGAAGGCAGACGGATTACGGTTACGTGGAGCTGCTGCATTTTTCGACGTATGCGTGATAGATGTAAACTACAAACATAACCAAGGCCGGTCACCCGGGCGATTTTCAAGGAACATGAGAACGAAAATAAGAAAAAACACCAATAGACAGTTATGGACGTTTAAATGGGCTCTTTTACACCACTCGTTTTCGGAACCAATGGTGGAATAGGACCGAAACGCCACAAGGTTCTTACTCATTCGGCGCAAAAATTAGCAGAAAGAGATCACGAACGATATGCTGTTGTCTTATCGTGGTTGAGAACTATAATTTTCACTACCGTTACCGCTAAGTAATGAATAATTTAGTGTGTATATTTCTATAAACTGAATTATTAAAGGTAATAATTCAGTTTATAGAAACATATCTACTAAATTATTCATACAAAATTATTCCTAATGATAGTATGTTTATAAAACATTACATCTCTTCCTTTATAATGAAAGACTATAGCTTTCATTTAAGCAACTTCACCCAGAGTAATATGACTACCATTTCTTTGTTTACATAAAAGCTGGTTGTAATGCATTTTCGTTGCTGATGAGGCTTCCCTCATTGCGAGCTATTCTTAGCCCATAATCAGGCCTCTCTTTGGCAATGAAATCTTTTCCAATTTGTTTTTTTTTATTTTCTATTGGGTCATTTTTATCACGTGTTTTGCCCCCATACAAAACATGTATTCTCCCGTATTTATTTTCATACTAACTCTCCTTAAGAAGGCCCTCAGGTCGAAACTTGAGAAGTGTTTTGTTTATTTAAGGCATGCAGTTGAGTACCTTTTTTTCCGGACCCACATTATCATATTCATATATTTTGCCGCATATAGGATTCCCTCCATTCCACGGTAAGAGATCACCAAATTACCACCATCTTATGAACTACCCCTCTCATTCCTTTCTAATAATGGGAATCCCGGCAAGGCCCCTTATGTTTTAGAACCGCCAAGGTCGGTAGCGGTAGGATGCCTAGCTCTTCAAGACTCTACGCCACTATTTTTAACATGGCTACCTCCACCGCCCTAAGACAGGATGATAAATCTTCTAGATTATATTTGCCAAGCTTATTGTTATCAAATGTTTATTCCCTAGCTTCTAAAATTGATGAACTTGAAGAGGTTGCGAAACTGAATGAGGTTAACATTATGTTCATCACCGAAACGTGGTTGTCACCTAATATACCAGATTCCGCTTTACTATTACTGAATTTCTTTCTCGTTTGTAATGAACGTGAATTCTCGTTCGTGCGGTGGCGGTGTCTATGTCTATGTCATGCAGTTGCGAAACTTCTTGCATACAAGACTCGCCAAGTTTGAGAAGCGCAATATTGAATCTCAGCAATATTGAATCTTTACGCACCTTTTCCTCTTCAGCAAGAGTTTTCCATGTCTCGTTGCCTCTGAAATTTAGAGTTTGACTATCTTTCTGAAAGGCCAACAATCCAGTGACTGCCGGAATGTCCTGCAAGTTTTCCACGACAACCACCTGAAAAATTACATAATGCTGTTCAGAGAAGAACTAGAGTTAATTAAGTACGACGCATGGGAGCTTGGGAAGATTTCCCCGTTATAACAGCGATTAAACCCTACAATAAACATAAAGAGAGTGCGAGAGTTTATTATTGTATGCTGGAATGAATTTACGGCAGTAACCAGTAAGACTTAAAAAGTTTCGTACATCTTTGTTATTACGTGGGCTAGGCTAGTAATAAACAATTATTGGTTGAGGTTTTTGGTGGAGGTAAGAGTTATCAGCCAGCAAAAGGCGAGGCTGATAACGCTTACCGACACCTTGATAACTCTGCACATCACCAAAGCCGAATTCAATAATTGTTTTATTATACACAAGAAGAATAATAAACATAGTATTAACGAATGAAAAACCTTTTTTAATAGCAACGTCCAAAAACACATCAATTATTAATACATAAATAATACATTTAAATGAATACCGCTTGTTAACCACCGCAGGTTCACTTGTAGATAACTCAGTTATCTGCTAGCAGATAACTGAATTTTGCATGATTGCGCCATTTATCTGTCAATTATTAGCCAATCAAATTGCTTTTACTACCATAATGTATAAGAATGCGTGTTACATGCAGCCTCATATTTCACGAGATAAGGTATTATTGGAAAAAGATTGTTGATCTTTCAGACAGATTTCAAATGTGTCAAATGTTGTGTGTTCTAATTTTGTCAAAATTAAGGCCAACATTATCTGTTCATGACATGTCTTCCAACGTTGACTTATTCCTAACCGCCCCGCGAAAGTAGGTTCGAGACAATCACAATTCAATCAAAGGGTGAAAAGCTGCTATTAGTCAATTCAAACGAGTATTGAGAACATGTTAATTAGAACAATAGGTTGTTGTTCTAATTCTTAACTAAAAAAGAGACTGAGAACTAACGTCATCGCTATGTATTTCCTGGACAATTCTGGTCTCTGTTCGCAACGCTCTATCTTATTGACAAGAGTATGGGACGAAATTGTGGATAGCCATTAGCCCTTCCTGTTTAACGAATTAGGTTACTTATTATAGCAGTGTGTTGCAGCTAGTGCATATAAACTGCTTAGTGCGTAGCGATAAGTAACTAACAAACAAACACGGCGCAGTGAAAATAAAATTTTAGTAACCACCGTCAACTTATGGATCGAAAGCTTACGATAACCCCTTCATACATTTAACAATTTAAAAATGCAGGCAGTTGGAGGGTTCCTGGCATCCTTCCTTAAAGCATTTTCGCAAGTCGCGGTGACCTGATTTCCGGGTAAATTATGGCACACTAATTCATGTAGCAGGGTTTGTTGAGAGATCATTATTAGCTACTTTCTACTGACTCTAAACACCGTCACTGGGCTAGGAATTATTTACACTACAAGCGGGCGAGGTGAGGGGTCTTCTGTCCCCCAGTTATATAGTTTTATATAAAGGCCGTGAGAACGTTCAATAAATTGCGAATGTATTACTGGCGAAAAAATGCCTCAGATCCACTTACCCCATTATTTATTAACGGTTCACTTCTTCCGCACCTTCCCTAAACAGATCAAAGTGTTAATTCTATCAAACGTTCAATTGCAGATTTTTTCTGGATATAAGTCATACACAATGCTTTAGAATTCGCAAATTTTTCAACTGCTGAATAAGACTTACCTTGACAGGAATATTTCTCTCTCCCTCTAGTTTATACCAGGCACTATCACCACTCTCGTCTTCGCTTCTATACTCCATACATTTTTCCCAAATTTTACGAGGAAGATTTGATCTGACCCAGAACCAAGCTGATGCATGTTTTGTTATTATACCACCATTTGTTGTTTGACATCCTTTGAGACAGTAAACATCTCTTCCACCACGTGGTCCATAACATGCACAACACTGAAATACCGTGTACCGCAAAAATTGATAATTGAGTTTTTAAATGAGTATATGAGTTTTGAAAGGAAAAGTAAAGTAGTATACTTATGATATTGTTTAAATCAATTGGCAAAAGTAGTGATCCTCATTATAACGGTGGGATAAAATCACATGACATTATTAAGCCTGGCTCGTTCGTTACACTTCGGCGTAACTCGCCCAACCTTTTAAACTAAACTGATTAGTGGATTTGAATAAAAAGAACCTTACCTTTCCTTTATCGCAACCAAAAAATGCAGTTAAACCACTACTGCTGTTGTTTGTTTTGCTGACGTAACTGAAAATTAAAGTGCCTATATCACTTATGGGATCTTTACGGATTTGAATGGAACTTGAAAATTAATTTATAAGCTCTACAACCCTTTTTGATAAAATTAAACAGTTTCGGAAATATTTACATCTAAACATGACGATTTGCCTAAATTTCCGTCGTGCTCGGGGGCCTGGGACTCAGGAACCGAGTTCTTGTCAAACATATTATAATCAATTGTAATTTTACTTCGATCTTCCAATAACGTAAAACATTTTGAGAAAAACTCGCCCAGTTACTACAGCCATACACAACGCACCGTTCCCGCATTTTTTTATGGAAAAGCGCAAACTATATCGGCAGTGAAACTCTTCATGTTTACATTATAAAAGACGGCGTGTTTGCAAATCATTCCTGAGTCCCAGTCCCCCCAACCAACGTATTTTCGAAACTATTTAATTATATCAAAAAAGGGTTGTAGAACTTATAAACAAATTTTTCAAGCTCTATTCAAATCCGTAAAGATCCCACAAGTGATATAGGCACTTTAAAGCTTATTTTACAGTTCAGTCCGCAATTACAAAAACCTGCAATTCTTGCCTTGATCATGTACACATTTCCCAACATATTTAGATCATTTATACCTGAATCCCCCAGAGAAATCAACCTGAACTGGAAATAACCAATGGTAAGCAAAACCATATGGACATGGTTGTTCCAAACAAAGATTCATCATTGTCTGTGAAAATTTTAAGATAACATATAAAATGATGTAGAATTCGGATATAACACGCATGTTGTTTTAAAAAGGATTTATACAAGTCTCTTTGCTGTTTAAACTTAAAAATCCTAAATTGTGTATTAATTCTCGTAATTGTCAGTTTCTCTATGTATGGTAAGTATTTATGCTTCCAAATTTCTATGGTAAATTAAACGAGTCTTAAATTATTCCGTTGTTATATTAACGCATTTGCGGTTGCATGAGAGAAGAATTTTATTTGTAGATTTTTTATTGATTAAAATTTCACATATTTCGCAAAGTTGAACCGATTGGCCTTATATATTAATTTATAGAAGCTGAATCGGAGCCTTCTTTTTAGTTATGGGAGCGACAAACTTGGCCTAACTAACATGGATTGTCAAAACACTTGAAAACATTTTATCTCTTGATGACAATAACAATATCATCGCGCAGACGCGATCAGACGCAGCTTGCATATAGAGAGAAGAGATATGAAAAAATGATTGGAACGGAGCGGAGAAATATTTCAAAGTTAGAGATCACGATTGGAAATTCGTCAAATTCAAGGATGATTGGTAACCTCGTCAGTTTGATAGCGCAATTTTTTAGCTGCATTACTGTTCATATTTCCCACCTTAAATTCCTACAAATTTAATTGATTCTCAAATTGTCCTTTAATATTTTGTCTGGCTTGGATAGATATCTAATTTTATCGAGTTTTCGTTGTTTGGAAGTAATATTAGATTATCTCACCCAGCCAACTTTTGCAGTAGGATAAGAATACGGTCCAAATATTGAGCAAAAGAAATCTTTCGAAACAATTTCACCCGTCATCAAATCTTTGACATAAGACACATCTCCAACACCAGGAAAATTGCTTGGACATCCTCCTTGATCGACGATCATCAAATTCTTCAAGACACGTTTATTCTTAAATCGAAATGCCCTGAAATGAACAACAGTTTTATCTCCAAATATTGATCTATAAAATAAATTCTTATATAAAAAATATGAATTAAATGTTTTATGTTGCCGATATTTTATTATGTTGCCGATATTTTATTCCCATGCCTGGTCACCATTTTGGAGACTATTCTTCCGAAAAATATGTATTATGTAGCTAAGTTCAAGCAAAACACGTTTTCTCCCTGGTCCACGCTTTCGAATAAACTAATTACCAGTGAGCCTTCGTCTTTTTCATATCATCATCCGAAGCAACTTGAATTCTGAAATCCAAAACTGAAACATCGCCAAACTCACTGGACCAATGTGGATCACCAAATGGTTGAACAGTTTCATTATTTGATGGGACGCCCCATGTTACAGTGCCATTTATGTAACCAAACAATATATACCCACCACCATCTGTTGTCATGTCACAGTAGACCTGGATTGGAAAGGATACATGTAGCTAATTAATACTATAGTAAGGGAAACAAATGGAAGTACCTGATGGGAGGTTGAAGTACATGAAGTTAAACTAGTATGGGAAACAAATTGTTATGGAAGTACCTGATGGGGATTGTTAGTGTGATCATGCATACCAGGTTTGCATGGGCTGAAGGCGTCGGATTTGCTTTTTGTTTGTCAACTTTATGATCACGAAAAGCCGGATTACCTTTTTTGGTATTCCCGCATTGAAATTCACCCAATAATATCCATCTTTAGACTTTGGGTTCTTGTTTAAAATATCCAGGCAGTCGTAACCAGGATTAAAAATTCTCCCGGGGGTTTGGAGTCTAAAATATTTTGAACCTCAAAAATTTAATCATGGGTAAAAAAAAGTATTTGAATTGCATTTCAATAAATCAACAGTAACAATAGTAACGTTTGCAGTTTTTTAAACTTACTGTCAGTCGTCTTCCAACTAAAAATTTCATCATCTTCAGTACAAACTAATATGGTATCTTTGTTCTCCCTATCTTTTACTAATATGAGTTCGCCATGATTTGATTTTGAACAATTTCCTGGATCATGATTTTTTCGGACTGTTAACATCTGTAAAAAATTATTGACCTTTGAAAGAAAAAACTATGGTAAAAAATTATCGGCCTTTGTATAGCTTTCTTCTTGTTATTGCAATGTGTTTTTGTGATATTTACAGTGATTTCGTTAACGGTTAAACACATGCAGTAACGCCAGCTTCTGAAATATTAGAGTATTCATTGGTGCATGTGGTACACGATAATTCAACATTCATTTACTTTTATATCGGGTCTTTCCAGGACTAAGTCGCTAATTAAAATTCTATACTTTCCTTAAACACAAAAAAATACCTTAGCGTTGAACAAAGAAAGCAAGACCAGTGCTGCAGTAACAATCGGAAATTTAAGCATCTGAAAAGAAGTTATTGCATATAAGCATTGTAGAATATTTTAGCTTGATGATGCGCTAATTACTCTCCCGATTTCAAACTGTTGCGCAATGTTCATGCTATATCAAAAGATGACCTGTTACCAACTTACCATTAAACGCGCAATTCAGCAGTGATATATTTTTAGTTCAAATAAATTTAATGACATAATAGTGACAAACGTGCCAATGCTAATCAGTTATATTCTTTAAGTTCAGATAAATTTAATAGGACGATTCTTTGGTCACACACCTAATATAGTGCTATTCTATTTTGTTACATGCAAAATATGAAGCCTGAAGAGACATTTTAAAAGTCATTTGTTTGAACAGCAAGGCACCCTAGTAATGAGGTTTATATTGGCTTCTCTTATGGAAAATTCAAAGAAATCGCCCAGCGATTCTAAATTACATTCATACTAAGTACCCTAATAGCTACATATTTTATCAAGACTGGCAGCCAAAGAATGTCTCAATTTTATTAATATGTTGAACCCTGGTCGCGCTTCTAGTATTTTTAAACTATACGAGAGTTTGTTCGTCCGCACTTAATTTACTGTATATGAGTATTACACTTTTTCAACTCACACCATCTGTAAAGTTGTAATTCACAACAGTCAATCGAATTTAAGTAGTCAATTCTCATTTTTCTCATACTTCAATGACATTAACTTTCAAGGCTGATTTTCATTTATAGTCGTAATTGTTCGCCAACATGTCAAGATGGCTGATGAATTGGAATGCTGCAGTGCATTCAACAATTACAATTTTCGCACAGAGAATTACACGTATGTCGAACGATTTCCCTCAACAGTATTTCGCTTAAAATTATTTGTTCACGACAATTAAGACTGAATCAAACCTACTATGAAAACTAAATGAAGATTCCATCGCGCGGCAAAATTATGAAAGTCACACTATGTACTTGACCTCGCTTCAGTTTCGTAAACAATCCTTTGGTATTCTCCTCTTCAAGTCAGGGATTTAGGTGGCTAATTTGTATTTCTATTGAGAAAGAATGAGAAATCAAGAGTTTTGTTTGTCATACATACTTTTTGCGAACGAGAAGGTAGTAAAATTTAATACATTTTGCAGTGAATCTAGATATGTTTTAGTCATAAATAAGTTTGTAAATGCTGGGACATTTAGCCTGGAAATAAAATATTACAATTTTCGGAGATGGCTTTTGTCAACGATTTCCCGGAATTACGTTTGTCAGTTTATTATTATAAGAATAAATTTTCTTCACAAAAACAGGCAGACAATGGCTGATCGGCTATATTATTGTTGACATATGATTTATATAAGAGAGCGAAGCTTAAGTTTCATATCGATGTTAACAAAATAAAATTCTATTAGCTCGACTTCTATTAGCAGAACAAAAATGATCGAGAAACACCAAAAATTCCAAGCAAAAACAAAGTGAAAGTGACCAGTGCGATGTTTTTTAATAATATCTCTTGAAATTCTATATTTGTGTCATTGCAGAAAGAAATTTAAAACTCTTCTATTCGCCAATCTCTTCATTAAAACAATAACCGACGACGAGTGATTAATTTAGTCATCACATTCACACGTACGGGGTTAATCGATTCACATTGACAGTCATTGACTGAACTTTTGTTCGTCAATACGATAAAGTGCTTCACAATAATTGAAGCTTATGGATGTATAATATAACGACTGAAAGAGTTACTCAACAATATTGAACGGATATGTTCCAATTCTATACAACATTAATGCTGCAGGTTTTATGCGGAAACGATTTAAGAAGGATTTATCACATAATCTCACTTCCAATTAAATCTGTTTCTCGTAGTATGAATGTATGGTAATTTTACAGTGATATATAGAGTTTGTTATTATTTTAAAGTTATATAGAGAGATTATATACTTACATTATATTCTGAATGGGTTTGGTGATGGCAGTAAAATGGTAGTCGCTATTGAATTCACTATATAGCAACTATATAAAATAAAACGATCTTGAACGTTGCTCTCGCAGATCTTATAAATTTAATGTTTTAGCAATCCTAAATCTCTTAGCGGAATTGCCTTTCGTACGGTGCTTCCCACGCTGTTTAATTATCAGAATTCTCTAAGTTGGATTTGTGGTTCATTGCCAGAAATCATTTACATGCTGTCACTACGCACGCGAAATATCTCTCAAGTATTATGGCATTACAATACATATCACTGAAGAGTTAACACATTTACATATTTGTAACTTTTTTTTGCGAAAAGTAACATTTTTTGTGTTATGTTTATAACATGGCGATCTCAGAAAATGATATATATCAACTGTTTGACGTCGACGGCACAAAGAAAATCCCGTTTTACTAAGCAACATTTGTATTAGCTCTGCTTCAAAAAATCTTATATTTTATCATATTCGAGCGAGGATTACTTATATAAAATATTTGTATATATATGGATCCATACGTGATTGATGTACAGATATAAACTTGAGAAACTTACCGTTGCAGACATTTTTAATGGTACACTATGCGTTCTGACATCTGGTTGATATTCCACGACATCAGGTTGGCTTCCTCTAAACATTTGAAGTAATTACCCGTTTAGGTTTGTTAATGTTGCTTGACAAAGTTCAGGCTACATGACATGGCCATTTTGAATACGAATTCTATTAACTGTGACTAACCGCTGAAAGGCATCGCGGGCGCATGTTCGAGATTTCTTTGAGGTGTGTTATAATGTACAGGGATGGTTCAGCTGGGAGAGCTTCAAACGTAAGAAGTTCTTTTGGTGTCCCATCTGTGCATGTTTTTTGACCTTTTCCCGAATAACAAATTTTTAGCACAATTGACATTTTTCGATAAGCTCTTGTTGTACAGGGTTAGGAGGTGAAATGTTTGACATAGCTGCCCGAATGTTCAAGAATAAAAGCTTAAAAAACAAGCAATGAAGGCGAAGTTCTTTTCGGGTACAAAACTTGCACTTCGCCGCTACTTTAAATACGGATTACTTATATCTATCTAGAAAGGGAAATTCGCTGTTCAAAGTTGAAATTCGTTGGTCAAAATCCGAATCGTGGACTTCTCCTGGACAACTTCAATTATTCAACTTAAAAGCAATAAATTACTTAATTATAACAACTAGCTTAAGCTGTGATGACCAACGGTAAAAGTAACTGTTCTCGACCACAGCCACGATTTCATATCACTATCACAGGAAAAAAGTATATAGTCAGCAAATATTTATAGTATAATATCGGTAAACGTGAAGTTTAAACCATACATATTGCATTTACATGAGAAAGTGTATAATATTTACGTGTTTAAAACGATTAAAAATTCCTGGTGAAAATAATCAGCCCAATCCGTACTTTAGCGTATCCACAAATTTAGCGCATAAGATGTTGGTACTTCATTTTGCTCATAATTGTCGGTTTGCATCCAGTCCTGACCAAAGTCAACAAAATCCCCAGATCCTCCAAACTTTGCTTCATCCTCTTCTGTTATTCCAATCCCATGATCCGCCCTACGACAACTATTTCCACCTCCACCAATCATCATCACTGCACCATCACCATGACCCCAATTACACCAAAACCCGATGTAGTTACTACTTTGAATATCACTGCTGCAACTATGCATCCCAAATCCAGTCGTGCTCTGATATAACCCGCCATATTTGATCGCACAACTACCCAGACATTTGTTGTTCGACCAAACAGTTCCATTACGAAAGTTTCCAAAAGAGGTGATTAACTCACGAAAGGTATTACCTTTGACACAATTGTTTGTTGTTTCTAACAATGCTGTGTGTGTTGGATCATCACTTCTGGTGATTTTTATTTCATATCCTGGAGTTCTCCAGAATGACTCAGAAAACATATCTTGATTGTAGGAAGGATCAACAACTGCTCCATGCGTCGCAATTCTGTCATACCATAAATGGGCATTACTCATCCAGTGTTTCTCATCGTTATTAGAAAAACGGGCCAAAAGTGTCCAACCTGAAGACATGTCACAGTATACCTGTTGAAAAAAAAAAAATAAAAAAAAATACTTTTTCAACTTTACGTATAAAGCAGAAAGAAAGCATATTGAAAACCATCAAATGATTATTTTATAATAGAAAACTTTATTAAAATAAGGTTAAATTAATTATCAAAATATCGATGCTAAATTTTTTTGTATGAAAAGTAGAAAAGTGGGTTATGGTAGCTAATACATATTTTAACGCGGTTGGGTTATATTTCATTTTCATGTTCAAAATACCAGCAAGGCACAGTGCAAACACATTTTTTACTAAATTCTATATCTCATTTGTCTCAGTGGTGTACATGATGGGATCAATAAAAAAATGCAGATAGAATTCGGCAGACCTTATTAATAAATTCTTAAAGAGCTAATTTTTAATAACAGTCAGCAAATTAGTAGTTTTGCATTGACTATACAAAGAAATGTTTCCACCCACCTTTAATGACCCAAAAATATATACTCCATTTTGAAGATGAGGTTTTGATCGGCCCAATGACTTGCAGCTGTAAGCTTAAGCAAAGAAAATATACCAACATCGTCATACCATTGTAGTATATTGACCGGAACCGGAAGTGTCCGGCTGCACACACTAGACATTAACATAATTAGTTTATATAAAGGCACGTGTATTTTTGTATT